GAGAGAGAGAGAGAGAGAGAGAGAGATTGGATGAGATACGCATCGCCGAACAGGTAAGTGTCCAACCCCTGGGCTGGCCTCACGCTACTTGCATCGATTGCATCGATAGATGAGCAAAATTGATGTTGGCCGGTGCGTTGCTCATTCTATCGATGGAAAACTCTCTCTCTCTCTCTCTCTCTCGGCTAGCCACGTGGTGGGCCATTTTTCTCTCGTTTTTTTCATAGGAGATGGCTATGGCGGGATCTTTGTCAACGTTGTTTGGCGGAGGACGAGCAGGAGGAGGAGCGGGAGGAGCGGGAGGAGCGGGGGGAGCGGGAGGAGCGGGGGGAGCGGGAGGAGCGGGAGGAGGGATGGGAAAAGGAGCGGGAAAAGGAGGAGTGGGAGGAGGAGTGGGAGCAGGTGCGGGAGGAGCGGGAGGCGAAATGCGAAGGGGCGGAGGAGCCAGGGGTTAGGAGCGGGAGAAGGAGCACGAGGAGAAACGGGAAGGGGCGGACGAGTCACGGGAGGAGGGGTGGTAGAAGGAGCGGGAGGGGGAGTGGGAGGGGAAACGGGGAGGGGGTTAACAAACACGCGGGAGCCGGAGGAGGGGGAGGAGATATAGGTGGAGGAGGAGAAGCGGGAGGAGCACGAGGACGAGTGGGAGAAGCGGCAGGAGGAACGGGGGAAAGAGCAGGGGAAGCAGCGAAAGAAGGAGAAGCAGCAGGGGCGAGAGCGGGAGCAGGAGGAGGAGGAGGAGGAGGAGAGGGAGGAGCAGCAAGAGAACGAGCGGGAGCGGGGCTATGGCGTGATCTTTGTCACGTTGTTTGGCGGAGGAGTGGGAGGGGGAGGGGGAGGAGGAGGAGGAGGAGTGGGAGGAGCGGGAGGAGCGAGAGGAGGCGTGGGAGAAGGAGCGGGGAAGGAGCGGGAGCGGGGCTATGGCGCGGGAAGAGGAGCAGGAGGAGGGGGAGGAGGAACGGGGTGAAAAGCAGGAGAAGCAGCGGAAGGAGGACGAGCAGCAGGAGGAGCGGGAGGAACAGCAACAGAGGGAGCGGAAGAAAGAGAGGGAGGAGGAGCGGGAGAAGGAGCGGGAGTGGGGCTATGGCGGGATCTTTGTCATGTTGCTTGGTGGAGGAGGAGTGCCTTTTTTCACAATCAAACATAAATGCTCTTTTTTCAATCGCGCGCGCTTGCACCACCACGCCTCTCATCGCCGCGGCGGGCCCACTTGTTTTACTAAACCATCTACCTTAAACTGCTTCTGCGGTCTTCCTCTGCCTCCTATAGAGAAATAACCATGTTCCAAAATCTTTTCAACTTCATAACCTCCATTCATGGAAGGTGGGAACATAGATGGTCTGTTGGGAAACTCATGTCCCTCTACATATGGCAGGAGTTTAGACGCGTGAAAGACAGGATAGGTCTTGCGGTGTGGGGGTACGTCAATTCTGTAGGAGGGTCCGTCTGCATCCCGAATCACCTTGAGAATTTCCCAGGGTCCGTAATAGACATGCAGCAGTTCGTGAAACACATTCTCTTCCAAGGAAAACTCCTTAGACTTCGCCCATACAAGATCACCTTCTTGAAACTGCGATGGCCAATGATGCTTGTTGGCCTGCTCGATCATCTGCAGCTGGGTTGTCTGTATATCCCTACACATATAACTATCGCTAATTTTTGGCCCGTGTGAACCGTCGCGGGTGGCTCCGCGCCAGGGCCTGTACCTGGCCCACGCACCAGCGCCAGTACCAAAGCGTGTTACCAGCCCTACCGCACCATGGCCTGTACCTGGCCCATGCGCCAGCGCCGGTACCAAAGCGTGTTACCGGCCCTACGACACGTGGTACCGGGGTTGAGCGTGACGCGCTACCAGTCCAGCGCCGCTACTGGTCCATCGCCGCTACATAGAAACTACTTTCTGGGGCACGCGCACTGCCGCTTGAGGGCAGGTGTACTGGACGGCGAGTTAGAGTCGACGCCTGTTCGACACTCTAAGCTTCCACACTCTACTCGACTGAGCTACTCTACGCTACTCTGTGCTACTCTAGAGTACTCGACTGAGCTACTCTACGCTACTCTGTGCTACTCTAGAGTACTCGACT